GGGCCCCATCTGTAAAAGTTTCTCCCATGATGCTTTCCTCCCTCAGCTTCTCTGAGATCCTGCTGTGACTCCCTTCACCCCGCTTACCACGGCACATTTCAAACAATCCAAATATGGCACGTGTGCTCTGAATAATTCAGCTGCTGCTAGCATTAAACAACTGTTAACACGCTGGAATAATTAGTTATGCTTGCTTGACATGTTTGCATCTTTAATAATTAATGCATTTGTCTTAATTAACAACAACAGTATTTTAGCCTTGTTACTTATTTCTCAAGAAAATAAAGTAGAAAACAGCCAATTATGCTATAAATATTAATTAGACGGCCTTATTAGAAAACCCAGATAATGGGCCGTGGGGGATGAGTTATACTCTGAAGGAGAGTGATGACTTATATAAATCTCACTTGTCACTTTTTCATCATAAGCAGGTATCCCAGTACAGAGCTTTATTTTTGCTTTGGAAATCTGCAGATTTGAAAAAAAAAGCTAAAACATAAATACTGTCAATGAATCCTGCTGATTAATGTTATAATTATTCTTCTGTTATTGAGCAGAATAATCACATTAATCATGGACGTCTTGTCTTAAAGCTCATGTAGGAAGTGTTTTGTGTAATGCTGCAAGATTTGGTGAAACAGTGTGATTGTGATTAGAGTGGACAATATTGCAATTTGTAATACAATAAATGATTATGTGTCAAAATGCCTTGATTATTGAGGAGCATGTAGAGATTATTAATAGTGCTGAAATATGTATTTCCCAATTTATAATCATATAAACATGAAGTAAATGCATAAACTTCAAAAAAAAAAAAAAAAAAAAGAAGCTCATTTTGCCCCTTTTACAGTTTTACCTTCAAAATTTATTAATCAAAATAATTTTCTCTACCCCTCACAAATTTTTGCTCCAAAGTGCCAAAAAGTAAGCATTGTGACACTTCTGTAAACTTCAGATATTTTTCATCCAGCTCTGGCCTCCATGAGCGGCATCATATTTTTCTGTGTAATTACAATGATACGGCCGGCACCTCAACATGACATATGGCCTGGTGTAACCCATACAGGGAGTAACACTCGCTGGTACACAAAGTGTAGGCTACTAAAGTTACTCATCACAGCACACAGACTCCCTCCAGTAAGTTACACACAACAACACGGGTACATTACACAACATATTACATTCATAGCACCATTTCCAAGAAAATAATAAAGTACTCGGTCCAGTGCATGTAACAGTAACACATCCTGCTCATGATGAACAGAATCACTTACTTATCCAGCAGTATCAACAACATCAGTCCGTCACCGATGTTGGATTTTTCTTTTTTGTAGGATCCACTTCTGAACTCTTGTCCCCCCCAGTGGAAACCGAGTAGAACGCATAATCTCCCGTGCACCAGCGCGTGACTGTCGCCCTGAAACCAAATACAAAAAGAACAAATACTGAAAATTACTGTGAGATGTTAGAGGAGCCGATCGGCTTAATCAGCATTGTATCATCCCCCCCGAAGTGGCTTGGGTAAAACGGATATTTACAGTCACCAAGAAGTCACGCACTATAGCTTTAGAAAACATGTTGATTAATTACATTACATTGTAAATCCAAGCTTGAGTATTCTCATTCTGTATAAGGTAATACGCGCAGGTAGATCATTCATGCAGCACTGCATCAGTGCAACCAAAACTGTTTATTCTCGCATGTGACGGTTTAAGGTAGGGGTCAAACTGGGCTCATGGACTGAAGAGGTTAGATGTAATGACCATATACAGAGTGAATTTTTGTCATTTCTTTTCTGAGAGATGGCCAACCTTTTCTTACAGATCACATATAATTTTTAATGAAAGTTCAAGCAAATAAATTTTTTTTAGTTTTTTTTATCAGTTGTAGTTAAGCAAATGTTTCCATATGAAAAAAACAAACATTGTGCAGGTCAAATCTGTACTTGCAGATGGAGAGGTCACTTCCAGTCAGTAAGCTAGTAAAGGGAAAACATGATTGAACAGATGAAATGTATTAAATGATTTTACTGAGAAAAAGGCCCACGGAGTGTCAAGATTAGACTCTTAATTTATAATATGACAACAGCAGCATTTGGAGTTATCTCTCCTTACCAGACCAGATCTTAGAAATGCTTTGCCCGTCACTTACACATGCAGCGCCACACTAAGACCGCCTTGGTTTCATCAGAAAACAGGCTCAAGACTAACGTGATGACTCAGCAGAGGATTGCCACTAAGTGTGGACTAATCCCCCCTACCCCTCTGGTCTCAGTCCAGTCTGTGTGGTCAAAAAAGTTGGGATCCCAGGTTCCATAACAGAATTAGTCATCATTCCAGGAACCCATCAGGTCTACACACATATAGAAACCACTTAACATCTCAGGATCTGATGAACTCATTCTTCAGTGTCAGTATCTGTAATACTTCAAAATCCCAAAGTTGTTCAAATGGATCCAGTTTGACTGAAACACAATGAAAAATTTATCATCCCCTTAATTTGTCTCCTTTAGGAAAGGAGGTCTGTGTGCTGGTAAGTGATGAGATGGTGTTTTATTTAAATTTTCATGGCTGGCGTCCTTGTTTTGGCTGAAAGAGAGGCTAGACGTGAAAGCGCTCAGCCACTCGGAGACGAGCCAAAAATGCAGCTGTCAATGAGAGCAGAGACAGGCGACAGGAATGACGCCCTACGTGCCGGATGACTTTGGGAAGACTTTGACAGCCACCCAGGAAGGGAAGTTATTTTCTCTCCTTTTTTCTCAAGCTGCCGCATGATTAAAAGCCAAATGAGTGACACTGCTCGACACCCCAAATCAGCCCACTGCATTAATATTTCACACAGATGGCAGCTGTGTATCAAAACAACATGCAGCTAAGGACAAGAGGAGGAGAGGAGTGTTGGTGCAGGGTGAGGATCCTTTAGGGAAATGGCTACGATTCCCTGATTGAACATGATAATACAGATAAAACCTGTAAAATAAAAGGAGAGGTGACAAATGTGGAACATATTCATATGCGCAAGAAGTAGATTAGCTTATTTCTCTATTTCTGAGAGAGAAGAGGCCGATATAACTCTGAGATCTGTACTGTGAAATATTGAGTGGTAAACTGGCGTGTCTCAGGACAGTGTGCAAAAATAGAAAAACAGCCTTTATGTGCTATAAAAGAAAAATATTAACAAACCAGAAACTTTAAAAATCAGTATTTGAGTGTGTTCATATGGGCCCAGTAAGGAGCTTTATTCTGGTTTTGATCATACGGGGTGTGCGGTGTTGACATGCACCCCAAGAAACCTGGTTATTTATATCCACGTGTAAATGATAACTACTTGGATCTTCTTTTGGTCCACCAATCCTTCTTGAACACCACCTCAGTCAGACTTCCTTTGTCCCTGGACTTGAAAAGGATCTGGTTGCAGACACAGTTGAGCTCAGTAAGCGTGTGCACAGTTGGAAGTTGGACCTCAGCTTGGATGTCAGCAGTTCAGAGATGAAATGAAGGAATCTCACCAGCTCATGGTTGTTGCACAATCCAATTTTAAATTATGAGTGATATAGATTACGCAGCCTGAAATTAAAAATGTATGACAGCTATCGAAGGTTAAAAAAAATGGTAGTACTTGTTAACACTCGAACTACCAAGGCAGTCATTTGACTGCTTTCAAAATTTACAATTTCCTAACTATTTTTGAAATAAAACCTACACACCAGTTGCATCTTGGCCTTTCCTAAATGTGCATATATTTTTTTTTCCAACAATGTTTTATCATTAAAATTTAAAAACACAAAAAAGAACTGAGTATTACTACCTCCATACCTGATGCCAATACTTCACTATTGGCTACATTTTTCCACTCTTTCTCTTGCTTCATTGTTTGTTTTTGTACTTAAAGCTCTGTGAAGCTAAAATCTTGCTATCACCTTACTCAAAACTCAAGAGACCCAAAAATGACAACTAAAAGAAAAATGACAAATATAGAGGCTTTAGCTTTGCTTCAGAGCCTTGATGAGGAAGAATCCAATGGATGAGCAAGTTCAGGGAATGATGTGTCTTGGTATTTTGAGGAAGGTTCTTCAAAATCTCATTCATGATGATTTTCATTTTGTGTACTGATGTGTTTTTTTTATTTTTTATATATATATTCCACCAATTTATTATCAGTTTTTATTGTTGATTATCCATATTACGTGCAAATAAAGACTGAGCAGTCAAAATGACTGCTTAAGGTTATTCTAGTAGTTGCAGAATTTTGGTAGACCAATTGTTAAGCTCAATGATTGATGGTTATATTAAAGTTAAGCCATGAAACACGTACATCAATAATTCCTTGTAGGAACCTGAATGTACTGTAAGGTCATTATTTTGATCTTTCACCTGTTTTAGCTAAAGTAGCTGTGCATAATACAGATAACTACCCACCAGTGGTTATAGATCGAGCCGTTAATGAGTAAAAGCCAGTAAGCAGATTTTTATTTGGAATGAACAGGTTTTTAAAGGTAAATTACAGCACAGTACAAGGCCAGGCAATGGAGTGTGCAGTGTAACTACCACCACTGATACAAAGCAAATGACAGCAGCCAGGAAAAAGTCAATGTGGAGGTCAGGAATTAACTTCATTGCTCTTATCTGGACATTGTTGCAGTGATGAGGGAGATGATGCGTGTTGGTGGGAGGGGGGGGTAACAGCCATGAAATGCACACGCCATCAGCAGCTGAGGGACCGCCTCAATTGGAAATGTCCATATTAGGCAATATGCAAATGCTGATGATGGTGTTGTAAATTTTACAGAGATGATGGCGAACAACATCTCGGAGGCGATGATTAAAGTGTGAATGCTAAAAAAAGAGGGAGGGGCAACTAGATGGGTAGGGGTGATGGGGGAGCAGAGGCGAGAGATAACAGGAGACTGAAGCCTCACTCGTACCATCCCTCCACTGTCAGGGGGCCACGTTGTGGTTTCCTTCCCACTCTGCTGTCAATAGCTGTCAGTCCTTAACTGCCTGTCCACATTAGTATACTTTCACCACGGCAAATCCAGCGACATCAACCACTGACCTTCCACTGGTGACTGTCCCCCCAGCATACCACCAGATATCATTATCAAAAGCAGCTCCAAACACGGGTGGATATCACTCTGAAAAGGTTACAGGCATCCAGCAGCATGAGGGAGGCCTGAGAAAAATAAATACAATATATATTAATAATGAATGAATGGCATTTGGGGCAATGTGTGTACGTTTGTGTGCAGCTGTGATTGCATGGGTGGCTGCAGCTATAAAAGCCAGCTTTCCTCACATACAGTGTGTTGATTTTTTTTTTTCTTGAAAATGTCACAAACCCAGATTTATAGTCTGTCTTCTGAGTGCATTATTCAGGTTTGACAATCTTAATCATTCACACATCCCACATACCCCCTGCCTCTCTCTTTTTTCCCCTCCACAGCCGTCATGGATTATTGAAATATAAAAATAAGTGGTAGAAGGGGCCCCCGGAGCGGTATCAAAATGTCAGGTTTGTACTTACAGCCCGGTGCTGCTAGACAGGGTCAAGGGCTTCAATTATTTGTGTACGTACGGTCTTTCGCTACATGAAAGGTTATGTCACCCGCCGGCTGTTTACTCCTGAACACTACAAGGTAACCAATGCACTGCTGCACTATAAACTGCACTGACATGGAACTGAGAAAACAGAGCTGGAGAAAATACGAACGAGGGATTCGGGAGTTGCATCAAAGCAATGAGCAAAAAGCGCCAAAGTGTTCCCTACAATGAGTCTTTGGAGCTCCTGAATATACAGTTGAGGCCAAAAATAAGTAGACCCCCTATGAATTTTCTTTTTTTTCCCAAAATTTCTTAAGTGCTGTTCAACAGATTAATGATTTTTTTTCACAGTTTTTTCAAATATCCTAGTCTTATTTTGGATCCTTACATTATTTTACTTTGCGCACAGAAACAAAATTATTTCACAAAATCCAAAAACTACCAGGGTCAAAATTATAACCCCCCTTAAGAATTTACATTTTCATTGAGCCAAAACAAAAACCACTGTTGCGCAATCATGTACTTTCAATCAATCAATCAATCAATCAATCAATCATCAATTCAGTTAAAACAAAGGGTTGTCCTACATTTTAAACTCAGTAAGAAAAACCTTGTCACACATTTGAGCTGTGACTTGAGAAGGCATCATGGCAAATACAAAAGAATTTAGTTTAGACACAAGAAAAAGAATTGTTGATCCTCAAAAAGCAGGAGAAGGCTATAAAAAATTATCACGACATTTCCAAGTGTCAAGAAGTGGAGTGAGAAGTATCATCAAGAAATTCAAGGAGAGTCACACAGCACAGAACAATTTTGGGAGAGGTAGGAAGTGAAAAATTTCAAAGAAACTGGAAAGAAAAGTAGTGGGAGATGTTACTAAACAACCTGGAACAACCACCAAAAGAGTAGTTGATGACTTAGTCAAGACAGGAATTGTGATGTCAAACAAGAAAGTCTCTAGAGCCCTGAACAGAAATGGACTGTGAGGATGCAGGCCAAGAAAAACTCCACTTCTACAAAAGAGACACCTTCAAATCAGACTGAGGTATGCTAAAGACAATCTGGAGGAAGATTGTTCAAACTGGAGATGTGTTCTTTGGTCAGATGAGACCAAACTAGAGCTCTTTTGTCACAGAGACATTGCTTATGTTTGGAGAAAGAAGGAAGAGGCGTATAACCCCAAGAACACTGTCCCCACAGTTAAACACGGTGGTGGGAGTATCATGCTGTGGGGATGCATCTGGATCTGGGAATCTTGTCAAGGTTGAAGGAATAATGAAGAAAAAAGGATATGTGAATATTTTGAAAGAAAACCTCAAGCAGTCAGCAGCAAAACTGGGTCTGGGTCGTCGCTTTGCCTTCCAACATGACAACGACCCAAAACCTCCTGGTGAGGAGCTGCCTCCAGGAAACCAAAGTGAACATTATTGACCGGCCTGCACAAAGCCCTGACTTAAATCCCATTGAAAATCTGTGGGCTGCACCAAAGACCAGGGTCCATGCTAGAAGACCATCAGATCTGGAGGAACTTGAAAGATTTGCCAAAGAGAAATGGGCTGGGATTCCTCAGGAGATGTGCCAGAGCCTTGTTACAAACTACAGCAAATAACTGCATGCTGTTTTCCAACAAAAAGGACACACAATTGACTATTGCCTGAGGGGGGGCTAATGTTTTTGACCCTGGTAGTTTTTGTTTTTTCTGAAATAATTTAGTTTCTGTGCGCAAAGCAAAAAAATGTAAGGATCTAAAATAAAACTAGGATGTTTGGAAAAGCTGTGTAAAAAATCATTAATCTATTGAACAGTACTGAAAAAAAATTGGAAAAAAAACTTACAATTTCATAGGGGGGCTAATAATTTTGGCCTCAACTGTAGACCTGATTTGTTCCCAGTTTTAAGACTGCATCTTCCTCCTCATCATGGACTGGTCTTCAGTGTAGTTAAAAAATAAAGGCATTGGTAAAAGTGGACAAAGGAATCCTTGCAGACTAATAGATCATTGTGAACACAATCAGATTGATGGATTGCTCTTTATTCCATCCTGAGCCCAAAATGATGACATCTCTCTGTCCCTTTCTCACCCTCCTCCCTGTCTCTCCTTCGCCAACACCTTCACAAGTCTTCAGTGCCAATAGAAGAGTTCCCGTAAAAGGCCTCAGAGTTATTGGGAGTGATATGAAATTTTCTAAATGTCATTAATTGACACCTTTTTCTGTAGGAGCTGTCAGTGGGGAGACAGAAAGGTCACAGCTCTGGGGGTGAGATATATATATGAACCTCCCCTCCTGCCAGAGCGGTGAGTTATGGCTGTCGTTAACGCAGGGGAATGGATGGAGAAGCCACTTCTGAAAGCCTCTATCGATCCCCTTCCTGCTCCTGAGGAATCAAAGGACCTGAATGTGACGCAGGGTTTCCTGGGCAGAAACAAAGGGGCTGATGTGCAAGTTACCCTTAGACAAGGGTACAATGATATGAATTGAAAAACAGTGTATCTGGGACAAAATAGATTTGAATTTTTCCAAACTTTCTGTAAAGCTGTTTATTTCAGGCTGAATATGGGATGCTGCCTTTGTTAGATCATGGAACCTACATTTTGTGTGGCTAAAGCTCCATTAGTGTCCCAAACCGGCAGTAAATTAGATTATAGTCAGCTGCTGCAACACTTAGATACTTTGCTACGGTTACCCTTGAAAGTTATAAACAATTAATATATTGTTGCTGTCCAATAAAAAACACGTAACTCCAAAATTAGTTTTTTCCAGAAACATTAAAAAAAAATTTATTCATAAACTACCTTATAAATTAATTTAATTACACACAATTAGGACCCCAAATCATAATCTATATTTACACAGTCATCAGTGACCTGTTCGATACTTTGAATGGACTTACGTGCTTTGCATTGTAAGTGATAGTGGACATACCTGTTTTTTTTTAATAATGTGCTCCAATGACGTTCGTTTACTTGTGAAATTCGAGTATCCTGTTTATGTCCCACTATGTTGATAAACTATTGATATCAGGCTATCCTAAATTTCCACATAGCACATTGGCTGTCAACCTTTTTGAGTCGTGACCATAGACTGTATATACTATGGACAACTTAGTTTCGCCTCCCGCCTGTACACGGATTTGAAGCCAAAAAGCTCTCGATATTTCCGAGATTTTTCTTCATTTTCTGAAACCAGCGCTGTGCAGCAGCGATGTACGCATTCGGCCACGCAGTAGCCAAGAGTCGCTGTGATGATGCTCGACTCAAACAGCGTATCCCCCGGGAGAGCTACGCAATCCCTGAACACCAATAGGCTGTATCAGGTGTCAATAACTACATGTCAACATTGCAAGCAGGGGGGAGAAAAAGGTTTGTTCTGTGTAATAAATTTCTAAAGTTGGTCCACAGCCCCATAAGCTTTGCTGGCGGAGGAGGGATTTATGACCTGTACTGCAGCCCATCAACAGAGGGTGCTGTTCTCGGAGTGGCTTCACCCAGCAAGGAGGCAGACTCTGTCCATTCTTTATACAGTCTATGGTCGTGACTCCCAATTTAGCATGCACTAGTGTCCACAACCAAGTGTAAGAGAGAAAACAGCAGCAGTTTTGCCTCTGGGATGAACTTCGGCTCAAGAAATCTAATGTACAGGTAAGCAACACTGTCATGGTTAGAAAAAGTTTTAGGTGTGCATCAGTCAATGTGAGGACATCAGTGCAGCATTACCCTGGACTGTAATGAGTCTGTCATAGTGTAAAGTCAGTTTGCCGACATGACAAGCAGGGCCAGGATGGGGAGTACGTGCTTTGTTGACACTTCCAACACCCAATGGAGATACTTGTTTAAAAGATGACGTTATAAAATGTCTTTTCATCAGTCAGTTGGATACCCAAAGCTTCTGGTTGTTAGGGAAGATTATTGTTAGGGACCATGTATGTATTGAAAAAAGTCCAGATTGCTAAAAGTAGAGATACGTGTTTTTCATTCAGCCAATTCTGTGATATTAGTCTATTTTTCAGTGACATGTGATTGTCAGATAACAGTAGTGCCTGTTGTTGTATTCAATCAATGAGTTTATCTCAAGTTGCTAATAAGCATCATGCTATATCTTAATACATCCATATGTTTTCTAACCTGTTACTGCAAACTAGACCAACTGTGCCTTTAAACTGAGGTTGAGTAAAGCTTTGATGTGTTTATTGTAATGTGTAGATCCATGTTCATGTCAAGAAAATTTCTGAGATTTCTTTTTTTTTTTACAGAGGTGCAGTTTTCTCATGTGCTTCTCTGTTATTTTGTTTAGTTGACATCTTTCCATTTGTCTAAAATTCCCATTACAGCTTGTAAAATAGTCCTCTACTCCATTCATTTCAGGTAAAACATGGCTGTTATAGGAAGCAAAGGAGAAGAGGTAATGACAAAGGGTCATGTATTGATTTCAATACAACATGTGCTGAAAATGACCTGAAATACAAAGTTAAGAACAGACAGTGAAATCAGAAGAGTAAGAATGATCAATATGGACTTCAATTTTGAATCCTCGAGGCCTCATACATATTTTTGTGAAATCTCCTGCTCTCCTTGTACTGACGCTTTACGTGAGCTGACAGGAGGATTTCTGTCTAAGGTTTGCATTGGCCTTCATTGGTTAGCACTTCAGAGACAAGTCCAGGTTCCAGGATTCAGGGATTCAGCAGAGACCAGGACTTGAGACGGTCTCACAGTTTGGTAGCTAAACTGTTCAACAACACAAATACAGCCCATAAGATGTAATCTTTCCTGCACATGCATTAGTCCTAAAGGCCCCATATATTTGTTAGTTATCTCTGATGTAATGTTTCTGAGGTCTTCTCTGCAGAAATGGAGATGCAGTATCAATGATTCACACTCAGCTTTGGAGAAATCTACAGCCTTTTTAGCCTCAGCTGCAGCCCTCTGTCTCAATGTCTTGACAGGCTGCAGGGGAAAGATGGTTAATTTCTGACTGAATATTATGCTACATAACCACTTGGCATTTAAACTGAAAAATGGGTTTCTGCTTCGCCTGTCGGCACTGCTGTTTCCCCTCTAGAATGAGCGAGGAGCAAGAGTTAGGAGGTGAGGGAGGAGGATCAGGGTGAGAGAGAGAGAGAGAGGAAGAGAGATAGATGGAGACGGTGGGGAGAGTAGGGGTAGAAAGGTGAATGGAGGAGGAGCATTTAAATAATGAAAGAATAGAAGCAAAGAGAGGATGCAAGTCATGTTTTTTTTTTTCCTGTGACACTTTCTCCTGCTTTGTTCTGGCTCTCTTACAGTCCTTTATAAGTTCTTGATGCAGAAATCATAAATAATTACACAGGATTGGAACTGGCAGCTGAATACAAGCACATGCACACATATTTAGTTACACACATATATCTTTGCCAAATGGATGCCACCCAACCTAAACAGGAGTTTATTCTAAACCCTAAATCTCATTAGGCTTGTGAAACAGGAAGGCTGCCTGGCAGGAGGAAATGTTGAATCACTTTCTGCCATGTTAACATATAGCTTTCATGTGGCTCTGTGGCCAATTAAGGAGAACAGAGCTGAATGGAGAGATGCAGGAGACAGAGAAGAAAGGCCATCGCAGAGTTTACTCTCCATCATAACTGTACTTTTTCAAAGGTGGCGGCTGTAAAGATGCAGAGCTGTGTCCAGGTACTGAAAATTAAGAAACATGACTTCATACCAGTTCATCTCATACTGATGTAGTTTTAATAACACACACATAAATGAGATCAGCCATGTTTGTGTCCTTGAGGTGTATTTTCTTTCACAGTACTCTGGCATCACACACATAATCAAACATGCGCCATGAAGAGGACTGAACAGCTCAGGGCATGGCATGATGGCGAGCGAGAAGGGGAAGAGAAGTTTCTCCTCATGGAGATACTCACATTATTTTGAACTCGAGAGCAAAGGGAAAAACAACATTTTTCGCTAACAGGTAACTGTGTCCCAGGTCAAAAATCCTTTCTATGGCAAACAATAGCAACAGCAATCAATTGAAGCACCTAGAAAAGCGGCATACTTCGACAAAGTAAACAGCTAAGGTAGCTAACGCAGTATTTGAGACTGAAGACGGACTCATAGCCAGACACAACTTGATAAAACAATAGCATGGTATCTTTAATTGTTTATTTGGATCTTTTTAGCACGATCAGGCTATTATTCTAAGAGTCCAATGGTAACATTTTGGCGTTAGTGTCAAGGTTTGTGTCGGTGCACATCGGATCATATTGCTTGGTTGATTGGATTCAGTGATTTGGCTCCAAATTGAATTGAAACGGTTGTTTTGATAAAGTTTGTTTTATTCAGCATCAGTACAGAACTAAGATGACGGCTAGAGGGGAACTCAGTTAATCCACCTTTATGTAATGAGAGCATTGGAGGAATGTTTTACGGTAACTAAATCAGAATCAGAAGGGGTTTTATTGCCATTGTCAATGAACAGGATTCACAGACAGACTTTTTTACAGTGCAACATTAAACGAAGAATAATATATAAAATACTAGAATAGAAAATAATAAGAGCATGAAATAGTTCCTTTCTCAGTAATGCATTACTTTTTGGTTTAGGTAACTGACTTAGAGTTACTTTTTTTAAAAAGTAACGAGTAACTGCAACAAGTTAAAGTAACTGCTTCTGGTAGCTACTGATCTCAGCCAGCTGTGCAGCTGTGCTATTAGCTACTAGGTGTCTAAGCATCATGGTGTGATGCCATAAGCGTGAGGCATGAAAGAGACTTGGTTTAACAACACAGAGTGATGTTATTGTCAGTTACGTTATTAAATGACTGAAAAACCAGACAACACTTCGTTAACCACACTGCTAGCAGTATTATCATCCAATTCTCCTCAGTATTAGGCTCAGAGGACACAGGCATAGTAGCTCCACAGCCTTGTTAGCCATGCAAGCTCCTGATATCCCATAGAGACCCAAGCTCAGGTCTAAAGTCATGCCTGACATCGTCTCCCTGTCCTGCTTTACCAGTGTCAGAGTCAAGGCCAGCCTCTCCTGGTTACAGTAATTTGAATGTCATCCCTGATATTGAAGTGTGCCACTGTAAGAGCATCAGTGTCTGATCTTGGTGTGTTTCATGTAGCGCCCTTACAGGCCTGGAGCACTTATTTTCAAAAGGTCTAAACATGTTTATTTCGTGCAGTTGTTTCCTGGTTTTATTTGTTTTTGACTTTTCTTCATTTTTGAATGGGCAGCTCATTCACTCATGCATGTGTTTTTGCTTTTTTTGCAGCATGTTTCTGAGGTTTGTTCGGGATGTATTTTTGCACCGTTTGGACATTTGCCGCCAGTTTCTCCTGATGATGACCGCTCAGGCTGTTGCAGATTCTCTGTTCTTGTTGGCCACTGCTGCTAATACTCATGAATACAAATGATCTTATAAAGAGGGGTATCATGTAGGAGGGAGTATTTGTACTTGAGGATATTTTTTCTTCTTATGCACAGGAGCATTATTGTGTCTCTGCTTGTGTGTATCAGTGTTTGTGTGCTGTTGGAGTTCTCCGGGGCGTCCAGGCAGTTACAAAGAGGGTAATTCATCTGATCAGGCTGATTGGTCTCCAGTAAATAACTCACTACAAGATTAGAGGGGTAATTCCTGGGCCAGAACAGAGGCTGGAAGTGCTAATCAATGGAGCTGCCTCACTGACGAGACGACATTTTGGCTGCTTGACCACTAATGTATTTGGGGTGGGGGGTGGGGGGTTGCTGTGTATTTGAAAAAAAAAAAGAGGGGTGTGTGCAGTGTTTGTAGGACCATGTTTTTATTTTCTGGTATGTTTTGCATATGTCAGCGGACATTTACAAGCGTGCACTTCTGTGTAAGTTTTATCCATGTGCGGGTGTATGACTGGAACTTTTCAACACCTGACAGTTTGAACTCTTTTCAAATGTAATATGTGATTAATGAGGCTGTTTTAAAGTGGTGAGGGGGAGCGGGGAGAGTGAGCCGGGGAGGGTGTGTGAGTGGGCTCCAGAGTCACAGGACCGGGACATTATTGACATCTCCATTATTTACTGAGTGATCGGAGCAGCCAAAGGCCTGCTGATTAGAAAACAATAAATGCTGTTATTGGTGATCAGGGGCTCGGTAGGACATTGCAAATGCATGTTGCAGCCGTTCTAATTACTGCAGCCACTAAGCACAGGACAGTGATAAACCAATAGATACACTGTGTATCTGTTTGTCTATGAACACCAAATAATGACATTAAAGAACTCAAACTCTGTTTCCATAACTGAACCTTTTTTGATTAAACCATGCAGATATTTTCATGCCCTCTTTTAAAGGAACAGTGCGTATTCTGGACTAAAATGCTCCTTTACTCACCTCTTTTGTTGGCATGATTTCAGTTGTGATGGCGGCCTTTGGCGACCAGGAGCTCCTGTAATGCGTAAGTATGATCCCCCATTCTTACAGTTTTGACCATCAAAAACATCCATCTACACAATGTCTTGTGCACCCCAAAACAACTACTCCGCTTCTTTGTCTTGTAAAAACATAACCAGTTAGTCGATATTGAGCTTCTGTAGAGACATGGCAGTATAAAGTGGTGACAACCACGCCCTTAAGTGGCTAGACACTCATTAAATATGCTGACAAATCTTTTAATTAGATTTCTACCAAATCTGATCTGATAAATATTTTTTAATTCTACACATTGCACCTGACTTGATAATTAAATTAGGTTTTCAGCATTTTTTGATCCAGTTGTTATGTTTATATGAATTGAAATGACGTTATACATGAAAATGAAACACTCAAGGTAATTGCAATGTTGGTACAGTTTGTAGATATTACATTTTTTAGCTAAACCAGGTGGTCAGATTTCAGACTCAAATGGCCCCTTGCTCACCCCTGTCATTGCTGTCTTAACATCTGTAAAGTACAGTGGACTAAGCAGAAACTAGTTCAGGCCGATTATAACTTCTAACACTCAATTATCACACATATTTATTTTGTACAGAAAACCACTGTGGTCAGTAAGGTGATGGTTGCCTTTGAGGACAAGAAGCTTCTCTGAAGCAAGATAAATATTCATTCAATCATGCAAACCTTTATTTGCAGTAGGAGATGAGGTTTCTCTCATTTCCAATCTCATTGAGATTGAAAATTGCAAGAAAAGGGAAAAAAAAATTGAAATAGTCTTAAGGCATCAAAAGAAAATGCAGGTTGACCAAGTACTGTGTCAGCGCAATTGAACAAACAAGTCCTGTAAAGGCTCCATAAATCCAGTCAAATAAGTTTGTGACTTAAGAAGGCAGCTTACCTACAAGACCTTTAAAAATATATAAATACCAATGTTTGTTGTCTCTGCTTAAGTGAGGGCCAACCAACCTTTTCAGAAAGGACACAGTGAGGGGCATCATATCTGTCCCTTTTGACTCTGAGGTAGGGATGGGAATCGAGAACCGCTTCTTGTTGAGAACCAGTTCCAAATGGTTCAATCCATCTACATTATTTACATTTTATCTAATGGAATTGATATCGATAAAATCTTATCAATTCCCATACTTAGTCTGAGGGCAAAATAGTCACCATAGTCCAGGGGCTGTAGATTTGACATGTCCGTATATAATATCACCATAATCTAAAACAAATTAAAACACTGCGTCAACACTGGCTTTTATTTTTGTCACTGCTTGGAAACTAATATGTGGACATGATATTTGCATACAGAATTTTTATAGAGCTGGATGCCAAGATATTTAAGTTCAGTGACTTTTTTTAAATTTAATTTTAGACCCATTTAAAGTACTGTGTAAACATTTTCAGAGTCACTGTTTTGAATACACTTTGAATTTTGTTTTACTGGAATTTAAAAGCATCCTGCAGTAAGAGCTTCTTACAAAGCTTCCTTATGGCTTCCAGTACATAATCAGCACTGCAGTACAAAATAGTGTCATTTGCATAAAAATGGGTTTAATAACCATTCAAAGAGAATTGGTGTTGTTGATATAGATAGTGAAGAGCATGGGGCCTAAAATTGATCTTTGTGGCACACCTTTATCAATGAAAAAGTTGGGTTGACACTCAGAAACACACTGATCTGTAAATCATAGGCTAATCATTCGGCTAGCCTCAGTCAAGAGTAGGTTCTCTTGCAGAGAAGTGGTGCAGTCTGTTGTAAATATTGGCATTTAATAACTAAACCCCAAACATGAGATATTTCCACTTATTTAAGATCAATTTCAAGGGAAACCTCTCTTATAACAGTGCAATTAAAAAAACACATGTAACAGTCCAAAACTAACACAATGAGCAAACACTCTGCAAAGACAATAACCAACAACAGTTTGAATGAATAAATAATTGAAGAAAACATTGCAAATTCAAATATTTTAGGATATTTCAGACTTATGCAGGTCCTCCAGGCCTGTATGGACTCTCAGCTGGAAGGAGAGGGTGAGGGAGTCTAAGTTTTTCACCCAATAGAAACTCTATTCATCCCTGATCAGAGGCGTTTGTCATCTACCACCATGTTATGTCATACTGTAGTCTGTGAATGCTGTAGATACATGGTCTTACAGCAGGACAGGGACCTTCTGCAGTTTGATATGTGAGACCTTTGAGGTTGCAAGATAAACTCTGTGCAGTATTTGCACATATAGGATATGATAGTCTCTATAGCTACTTGTAGGATTATATGGAGCCAGATCAGGCTCAAAAGTATTGAAAAAGTAGTGTAAGTGAAAAAATAAAAAGTGAAGTGAAAAAATAAGATTTGAACCTGAAAATAGTAAAATGGTACCTGAAAGTCTTGAATTTCGAAATTGAACTTTGAAAAATCCCAGAATGCATGAAAAAAATCTGTTCAAATGTAACTTTGATTCTGTTTTTTAATACTTTTGAATAAATTACTTATTTCTATTTTTCACTTCAATGTATATTTTGATCTTTGAGTACTTTTTTTTTTCGATTGAATTTTTTTTATTTATTTCAGATTCAGATCTTATTTTTACGGATTCAATTTTTTTTTTTCGGTTTCAGATTTTTTTTTTTCAGATTCAGATCTTCTTTTTTCAGATTCAACTTGAAAAGTTTCAGGTTGACTTTTGAGCCTGTTTCTCCGTGGGGGCGGGCCTCGACTGAGAGGGGCGCGGTCTGCCACGAGTGACAGGCCTTCCCCTCCTTCCTCACCCCATCACCCTGCGTTCAGGAAGTGGCATGAATACACATTAGCTTAGCCTACAATTAGGCTGTATTGGCTGAATGAGATCATGTTGGTTCGTTCCACTTTAGTGGTGCGATATAAACTGTGATTCATTAAAAAGCTCTATTGATAGTGAGTACTAAAAAAAATATATCTACTCATGTCATCCTGTCGATTTTTAGTAATCAGTGTTTCGGTGTCGAACTATTTCCCCTCTGCGGCGTAGTAATACTTGCACACCCTGTAGAGAAAGCCACTTTCTAATACTAGTTCTGTAAGTTTCCCAACGTGTTCTTGTAAAGTCGAGAACGTCTTCACTCTGGACAGATGATAGATGCATATAACATCGTTTCGCTCCTTTTTATGCACTTTTGAAGGCTGTCTTCTTTTGTTCCTTTTCTTTTCTTCCTCTTCGCTTGTCTCGCTGCGTGATGCGGTCGTCGCCATGTTTGTGTATTTCTGATACTATGGCAACAAGACTCGGCTCCTATTGGTCCACGTGACAAAAATCGCTTCACCCCCTGCATATTCGAAGTATTACTACGCCGCAGAGGGGAAATAGTTCGACACCGAAACACTGATTACTAAAAATCGACAGGGTGACATGAGTAGATATATTTTTTTTAGTACTTAATATCAATAGAGCTTTTTAATGAATCACAGTTTATATCGCACCACTAAAGTGGAACGAACCAACATGATCTCATTCAGCCAATACAGCCTAATTGTAGGCTAAGCTAATGTGTATTCATGCCACTTCCTGAACGCAGGGTGATGGGGTGAGGAAGGAGGGGGAGGCCTGTCACTCATGGCAGACCGCGCCCCTCTCAGTCGAGGCCCGCCCCCACGGAAAAACAGGCTCAAAAGTCAACCTGAAACTTTTCAAGTTGAATCTGAAAAAAAAAAATCTGAAACCGAAAAAAAAAATTGAATCCGTAAAAATAAGATCTGAATCTGAAATAAATAAAAAAAATTCAATCGAAAAAAAAAAGTACTCAAAGATCAAAATATACATTGAAGTGAAAAATAGAAATAAGTAATTTATTCAAAAGTATTAAAAAACAGAATCAAAGTTACATTTGAACAGATTTTTTTCATGCATTCTGGGATTTTTCAAAGTTCAATTTCGAAATTCAAGACTTTCAGGTACCATTTTACTATTTTCAGGTTCAAATCTTATTTTTTCACTTCACTTTTTATTTTTTCACTTACACTACTTTTTCAATACTTTTGAGCCTGATCTGGCTCCATAGGATTAAACCTCTATTTTGGGTTGCATTAAGACTAAAGAAAAGTAGTGATCTTGTTGGATTTATGTCAACCTGGATGGAGAATCAGGACTGTCAGCACTTTATTTTAGCTGTTACTCTGTCATGTGTCTGTTCACATGAGGTGACAGTCCTGTCTCTGTCTCCTTTCAGAGGGCTGTGGGTGGCTAACCCAACAACCCACAAGTTTCTTTGTGAGGTATAAAAATATATTGTGTTGTCGCTGCAAAGACCCACTAACCAGCTGGCATGTGTCACAGCTGTGTGAGTCTGGATGGGACAGAAATGACCAGTGCAGGTTGACAGTTACAGTTTGTGTGTGTGGGCATGCTGGTTTGTCGGCAGCCATCATGTCCATCTTACAGAGTTATCTTTTACATTTTCATATCAATATTCTCCAGCTTGGATGATAATGATTATTACTATTAATGTGAGCATACTCTTTCAGTGTTTCCCATCATTTCATAACAATAGAAAACACCAAGGGCCTTATCTACTAAGATCCCAAATAGAGAACGTTGAATTGCGTGTGCAAACTAAAAAATTGCACGTGCTATTATTGGGCATGTTGCAGGTGATCTACCAACATTGCAAGCAAAAGTGGTGCAGACTGCCCTCTTTAAACGAGGATTTTGCTTGCACCATCTGCTGTCACCATGGAGAGTTTGTGAAATCAGAGTGGTCGTAGATGAAAAATTAGGTTTAAAGCCATGGAGTTGCAACAATCGTTTTGGGGTAGTTAGCAACTGCATACAAAGGCAAGATAGCACCGTTCATACACAAGGCAATTCAAAGTGCAAGAAAATTGGTTGAAACGAAGAAAAAAAAAGAAATTCAAGCCATTTAAAATACATTAGAAAAATAGTTCTTTTTTTTTTCACCTGTTTCGTGTTTGACATAAATATTTATGAAAACCGTAATTTACTAGAATAACGCTTGTGCCTCCTTCTACCTGCAGTGACTGCAGCAATTTGTAAGTAACGCTGTGCCAGTTTGCATGCGTCTTCAAACATGCTAAATATAGACGCAAAACAGCGACTCCAATCAGTTTCCGAATCACATTGCAGGAGCTAAATGATTCCATTTGCATCTGCTCCTCCCAGTATTTTGCGCAGTCTGATGATATACATACAATCTGCAAATTCATGACGGCAAACACGCTAAATAGATTGCGCATGCTGTTTTGCTCATTTGACCGAAGCAATCCTCGGTGCGCCAGGTTAGTACATCAGCTTTTCGTGCGCTATCAAGTTTGCGTGTGCTTTTGCACACGCAAACCTTTTGTAGATCAGGACCATAGACTGAAGGTCCAAAGAGTCGAATGCCAGAACCGTTAAAAGCTGTATGGACCTGAACCTTTTGCATCGAATAAAGCAATTATCAAAGACTGTGAAAAAGACCAGCAGGAGAACATGGAGTGATTTGAGCACAGGCTGGGATGCAGCTTATTGGATGAACTGCAGTGAGGACACCATCCAGAAACTAGTGCAGTTTTTTGGTCGAGATGAAAATGGCCAGAAATTACATGAGCATACTAGTAAAAAAAAAAAAAAAAAAAAAATGTTGAGCTGTTTTTATCCTCTCTTCTAATATTATCTGTTTATTTCGTATTTCAACTGAAAGTCTCACACAGCTTTCAGTGAACCTTTTTGCTCTGGTCATTGGGATATAAAAGTTGGTAATCAGAGTTGTAGGCCTGGAAATGATCCTTTTTCTGCTTTAGAGCTTTAAACCCAAAGTGTCACACTTATCACATTGTGACAGCGAGATCCAGCTGTATCAATTTTTAAACCAAATCAGTGCCTCGCAATGAAACTTGATGACACCTCAGAGCTGTGAGCTTACTTCACTCCAAATATCTTCAAAGAAATGCATCTGTAGAGTGACAGAGAGAAAGTGGGAGAGCAAAGTGGAGGCACGACGAGAGTCTTATTTTAGTGAGCTATGAGGAGAAATAAGAGATCAGATGAAGACGGCTCTTATATGAAGTAGGGAAGCTTTGGGAAGTGTGCTGCTAAAGGGTGGTGTCATGAAGGAAGATTGTGAGGGTGGCAAAAAGATGAGGCACACATCTGAGATACACAAACACAACATATTTAAGTTAATGATAATGTATCAGATGTTTGCCCCCCCACCACCTCACCATCAGGCTAAGAGATGTGATATTCTGCTCTTCGATAATTATGTGGACCAGAGCACTTAAGTATAAAACGTCTATATTATCTGCTGTGGTAAAGTATGACATGTATTTGCTTCCACATCTGCAGCTGTGTCCACTGCAGCACTCTGACCTCATCAGGGACCATACTATCAATTTTGTGTTTAATGCAAAAAATGTAAATACCAGTTTGTAAACACTTTTATCTGTTTCATATTTATGATTATGGTTCCTTTGTGAAGTCCAGAAATGATGCTAAAATGAAAGTGTATTCATTTTCCTGAGCATATAAGCCAATAGTTTTTTTTGTTGTTGAGTGTGTCAAAATTATAGGTCATGTGGTTGATTGCATGTGCAGCACTGCTTATTAGGTCTATATTCCCTTCATAATTGTGATGTTTGATTGCTGTCTGGTATATGTTGAGTATATGCATATTGGTTGTTTTTCTATGTTTTCACGCTGAATGTAAAACATGTTGAATTTACCTGTAATGAAAGATGCCTCATAAATGAAATTGCTTTTGTAATGTGTGTAATATGTTTTACTGTGTGTACTGTCCTGCGTTTAACTGTGGTGGATTTTGTTGCATGGAGACAGTGCTGTGACCAAAAAAAAAATTCTCCATGGGGGACAATAAAGTCAAAGTCTAGTCCTTTCTTTTCCTGCATATAAGACAGGTTGAATTTCGTACTAAACTTCAACAAGTCCTGTGACCTGATTTCAATATCTCAATAAACCTGCCATGTAGGTTCATTTAATATGTTATGATGAAAATGTGTTTTTATCTTCATTGTAGTTACATGAAGAAAACTAGAAGAAAAGTAATGGACTTAAAAAAATATTGGGAAGTGGATTTTATCATTATCATCATTATTGTGACATGTGCTGCTGACCTCTTGGCAGGGTCACCCTTGTAAAAGAGATATCAATCTCAATGGGTTTTCCTACCTGGTTAAATAAAGGTTTGAAAAAAAAATTAATAAATAAATGAAAATTTTGGTATCAGGGCCAAGCTACAGGGTGGAGGCTGGGACGCAATGGCTGTTGGGCTGAAAGTTTGACACCCCTGCAAAAAAACAGACTTTAAACTTAGGTGCACAAGGTGAAAATCTCCCTATGACAATGAACAAGGCTGTGAAAATTTATACCAACATTGGGCAATTATTTTCATTTTGATTTTATTTTCTGATGCATTGTCCCTTTCAGTAGTAGTATACATGACATCTTTACAAGTTTTATAAATGTGTGTGATGCAGATGACAAATAGTGACATTATATCAATGAAAACAGCTGTGATTATGAGTTTTGTCATAATTTTGCAGCCTTACCCTCATTCTTGTTGCAGACAAATGATTGGTGAGAACAGGAAAACAAACAGTGATGTGTCTTGTCACCTCTGAAGTCACTGTCAGAGCTTTTTAAACAGAGATTTTTTTCACGGTTAATGGTGCTGGTTTGTCAATAATGTATTAATCACTTGCTGAAGATGGTTTCAGTGTAATCTTGGCCTTGAGTCTGAGTTTGTCTACCGCAGCACTATTTATTCTATATATATCCTCACAGACATAAATGCAAATTAACACCTTTCATAAATGCGTGTGTGTGTGTGTTTGTGTGTTTGTGTGTATGTGTGTGGCATAAGGAGAGAGAGAGGATGAGTGACAGTGTCCCTGCTGCCCCAGCTCTCCATATGGGTGGGCGGGGCCTTGCGACTGACGAAGCGTCTGCCTGAAATCACCCATCTGCAACTTTGCAGGTGTTCCCAATGATTATATTATTAGCTCTATCCGCTGATCTTTGATTTTTTTTATGAGCTTTTTAGCACCCAAAGCCTCTGAGTGTAGGTGGAGTAGAAGCATAAAATATATACATGTCTGGCAGTGCCATCTGCCTCCAAGCTCTGCCATAGACAACATATAGAGACCGTCTGAGAGGCAGCAGTGATGATCTGTTACGGTGTGGGAAGCAGCAGTATACACAAACAGTATTTACTCTGGGAGAGGGGTTTACTTTTTTTTATTAACATGTTCCTTTGCAAAGATTTTTGGCTGCTTAATGAGACAGTACTGGATTTTTCAAATCTGGGTGATCTCATATATGATAAAGGACATTATCCCTCACTTTAGCTGTGCCCTTAGTTTGACCTTACCAGTTATTGAGAAAATAGCCTCTAGTTTGTTTCACACATAGACTGTATAAACTATGGACAACTTGGTTTCGCCTCCTGCCTGTATACAGATTTGAAGCCAAAAAGCTCTCGGTATTTCCGGGATTTTTCTTCATTTCCTGAAACCAGCGCTGCGCAGTAGCATTGTGTGCATTCGCCGCAAGAGTCCCCGAGAGTTGCTATGATGATGCTCAGCTCAAACAGCGTATCCCCAGGATGAGCTATGCAATCCCTGAACGCCAATAGGCTGTATCAGGTGTCAATCAAAGAAAACATGAACCCCCAAATAACTTTTAAAAACAGAGTTTCACAGAAAAAAAAGGACTTGAGCACAAACTAGTCTCACACCGCAAGCAGGGGGGAGAAAAATTTATGTTCTGTGTAATAAATTTCTAAAGTTTGTCGAAGACCCGAACAAATCCATCTCTGCAGCCAGATATTGCAGTGATAAATGGTTTTGGTCTCCATGTCACAGGTCATTTGGACCCACTGCATGGTTCCTACAGGTAAACCTCTGATGTGTCCGCAAAAAAGTCCCATGTGGGTTCAGCGGGAAAAAATATATGCAGCAACTGAAATGTTTGTTATCTGCAGCACCCAAAACAGCGTCTTCATTTTTTATCAGCAAAAAACAAACAAAAAAAAACATAAATGTTTCTGTAGCACATCGAGAAAAAAAAAAAAAAAAGCAGTGACTTTGATGCTTTTGCAGCATATTCAAAAAAATATGATGTTGCTGCTAGTTTTTTTCTGTAGATTTTTCTGTAGATTTCTGTAGGTGTTTTTGTTACATTTATCAAATATTTCACAGTTGCTCTTTAGGGCCAACATACCATACACTAATAAACAGCATTTATCACTGGCTATGCATTATAACATCCACCATTACTAATTTTTAAGTCATTTCTCCTACACTGCAGTTAAACCAGAGTTTTTTTTACACTATCTTCCGGTCATTTTGGGTCATAAGTAAAAATCTATATACATAAATAAATAAAAAAATAACATAAACAAATACAGTTTAACTAAAACTTCAAAAGTAAACGTAATGAAAATTTCAAACCTGTTATAATAATTACAATTAAATAAATATTTGCTTGATACCCTGCGGCTTGCCTCAGCACCGAGGTACAGTGGATAAAATGTATAATCAGTAGACTGAAGGTCAAGTACAGCATTATTTAACATTATTCAAAGACTCCAAACAGGCACAGAGCAGAGCAGCTGAACCACAGTACAAAAAAAAAAAAAAAAACACTTCAGAGAGTGAGAACTCAGCCGTGTTGCCGAGTGTGTGTCTGTTGTAAAAGCAGTGCTCATGGCTCTGCAGGTGTAAAGTGTATTGTTAGTGTGTGTCTGTGCTGCAGGCTTTGCTCTGCTGAAAGAGGAGAGCAGGGCACAGTAATAATGGCACCAGTTTAATGACAACAGATAAATCAGTGTTTCCTCCCTGCCACCGGGATGGAGATGTCTGACGCATGTAGACATACGCACACAAACACACACAAACGTGCACACACAAACGTGCACACAGTGTTGCTCACTAAATGTCTCTCTGATGACCAATAGACACACATGTTGTTGTGATGGGTTGCTGCTTGTTCTCTACAGTAACACACACACACACAAAATCATTCAGTATCATCATCGTTATGGCGACCTCGCTATAGGACTGCAGATGTGACATCATCAAGACATCAGATATGATGGAGTGAAGAGTTTGGATGGTTGGGGTTGAACAGTGAGAGAACACTGATGCAGTAAAGAAGAGCTGCTCAGCTGGTCTCAGCTCAGATTGGTTTGTTATTGCCAAGCAAACGTTGATCAATTTTTCTATTTAATTTCAGCCTTTATTTTTTCATAAATGAACAGGTGCGTTTAAACAAGCAAAAAACACACAATCAATTACAGTAACCAAGCAGAAATCCATATCAATTCATTAATGGAAATGCACATTACCTGTCACTCTACGTTGTCTATACTGAATTTTCCTGCACAAATGTTCATGGTTCCTTTCTTTTCAGCTTGTCTTTATTAAGTTTTAAACTATTTCTGTTTAATTAAGGTTAATTTACAGTAAAACTCATGCTGTTAGAACACACTTTGCCTTCGTATATATGTTTAGTTTTACCTTTATAAAGCTCTGTTTTTGTTCTGCGTTCATTGTTTTAGCACATTCCCATCATGTGGTATAAAAACTAAAAACAGAGGGATTCATATGCTTTGAATCAACCGCTTCTTTATCATTTGAGTCATTTCATTTAACTATTAAGAAACTCCATTTGAGATGAAGAAATGGTTTACACAAGATAGGGAGAGGGAAAGATCACTCTGATGCGAGGCAAATGTGATTAAAAATGCTTCATGATATAACATTATGAACTCATTTGTATTCAGAGCGACCAAACCACTCCCCTTTTAAATAGTTGAATTGTCACGTTGTTGTTATTTCTCTGTCTCCATGACAACACAGAAAAGGTTGTAGTAACACAAACCTGCCAAGCTGATAGGTGGAGATAGTGAGCGATCAGCTCATCAGATACTGTAAGAATGTGTACTGAACACGTTCTTGTGCAAGTGGCTGTTGTCTATAGAAATCTTTGAGCCGAGTATAGACGAGAGCGACTGAGTTGGTATGATGGTATCATGATAAACGAGAATGAGATTTCCTTGCAAGCATATACTGGTCGTCAGCCATCTTGGTACATGTAAATATCAAATGGCATGCACATGTAGAGGTGAGGTCAGTGTTTCCCTGTCCGCATAAAAAACAGACAACACAGTTCTAAATCCCTCCAACCTGGGAGGTGTTTCCCTTCAGTTTCAGTGACTGAAGTTTACATGTGTGCATAAGGCCAGACTACAGATACAAATCTACATTCACAAACATAGACAGGGCCTACATTTATTTGACTGTATGAAGAACAAGGAAGCCCGTCAGAGGATGGAGAGGAGAGCGGTGCAGCTCTGACTACAGTCTGGCTTCTCCCTAATCCTGTCTGTATCCGTCTGAGTCTCTTACTCTCCATCTCTCTCTTTCGGTCTCTCCGTCTCCCTCCGTCGCTCAGATCCAGATGCTGTGTGAGTCTGTCGGCAGACAGCAGCTTGGCTCTGTTTCGTTGTCTTGAGCTATCATGGGGGAGATTCTCAGGGGATCCCGTGTTCACATCACTCGTCTACCACACTTTCTACAAGAGCGTCTGTTTGTACACACACACACAAGTGCTTGTCATTTTTATTGTGCGCTGTTTTTGCAAGTGATGTTTTGTCTTCTTTGGTGCTATCTCTCTTTTATTCTCAGTCTCCTGGCTCTGCTGTCTCTCACCGTCTCTTTCTGTCTGTCTGTCTGTCCCCTCCATCCACTCCAGATTCAGCCTCATGATGATTGGGCCGGCCTCTTTGTCAGTGGTTGCCTTTGACTGCGGCGGCTGACTTGGATGTTTGGTAATGGCCACTTAGAGTAATCAATGGGCCTCTTTGAAGTTGTGAGATGAAAGAGGAGTTTGACAGCTAATGTGTGCCTGTCCTGTGACGTGAACAGCATGGCAATGCCTGCACACTTTGAAGGCACATGGACGGGAGCATCAGGTTGGATTTATCCCACACTGAACACTCACCTCGCCTGTGAAACTGCTACAACATGGCAGTTAGTCTTTCACTTTCTTATGCACACACACACGCACACACACACACACACACTTACTTGAGCTCTCTCTGTCCTCCTCTCTCATCCTCCGCCTTTCTCTCATTCACCCTGTTTTATATATCTGTCACATCGGCGTTCCTCCTATGCAGCTCGTGCCAGCACCCATTCCACGCTCTCCTTCAGAAATGTGTTCAAGTAAACATTTCACGCTTGCTTATGCTAAAGGGAAGTGGCAGCGGCAGGTATGTGACAGGCAGAGAACTGTCTGTGCCCAGGGCTGCCATTGACAAACCAAACCCTTCTTCTTTCCATGCTGCTTTTATCTTCTGAATAATGGATATGTGTGATCGGAGGAGAGCATTTGATGATGCATTCGTTCTATTCATCAAAACGCTCAGAGAGAACACCCCCAGTGAGGGAAAAACAAAGAAACACTGCTCCTGATTGTAATGTAAATGATTTGTGCTGAAATGAAAATGAGCATAGCGGGAGCGGTGCACTACACTTTATGCAGCTGTTGCATTTGACTCATTTCTGCGCTATCAGTCCTGACCGTCTCGGGTTGCACAGTGGAGAGCGAGGGAGGCATGTCCTTTGAAGAAAAAGAAGCAAAGAACAACATTTACTGAGAGAGATGATTTCCCATGACCACCAGAGGTCTTTGAACACACTTCAGGGTGGTCTGCAGCCTCAGTGAGGAGGAAAAGGGGAAGGATTCTGGGCATATGCCTCCCCTTCATGCGTGCACGCCCGCACACACAGACACACGCAGGAGGTGGGGGCAGGCTGAGATATGCACAGGAAGTGATCTTAGCGTCTGCAGCTCTCTCCCCCTCCCTCAGGGGGACGGTTAACTCACTGCAGAGCTCTTTGCTGTGGTTGAAGCGGTGCATGTTTGCAGTGTGTGTCTGTGAGGTTAAAGCACCAGCTCCAGTCAGTGACACCCATCCCTTTTTTTCCCTCCTCATTGTTTCTCTCTTTGGCCTCTACACTCAGGGTCAGGTTAATGGTGTCTTGTAGTGTAACCGTTCCACATGCTTGTCTAAACTAAAACATATGAAGTGTGTTCAGACAGGCCTCACAGCCAGCAGGAGCTCTCTCTGTCTCTCCGTCTCTGCAGTTGATTCTTCTGTCTTCAGTTACTGAAATGTGCCGTCCCTCTGCTGTCTCTGCTGTTTATTTGAAGTGATGTTTTCACTTTGATCACAGTTTTTCTTTTTGGCTCAAACTTTCAAAGAAAGTGAGTACTGAAACTAACTCAAACTGTACTTCAAAGTTTGGATCTGCGATAAATTAATTGAGGTTTTTTTTTCTTCTTTTTTTGCATTAATGAATTTTATATGGCTGTGGATCTGTTGTATGATCCTTTTTGCAGCTTTCAGTCAATCATTCGGTCAGTCAGTCAACATGTCTCATCACAGACATCAGATTGAGATCAGCTGTTTAGGTTGTTTGAACTGTTCAAACATTGTCTTTTTGAGAATTAGATTCAGCAGATTGAAATGATTCCACTTTGCAAAGTAATCTTTCAAAATGTAAAGTTGTACATAAGTTTAAACTCTTAAAATCATTTTATTTTTGAAGTTCAAGTAGATGTGATTCGAAGGTCAAAGGTTACTTTATTTTTACCCTCATGTAAATTTTGTTTGCAGTGAATCACATGTATGACAGTAGGCGAACAAACAGCACAGTACAAGCAACAGGAAATACATATAAAATAACAACAGTGCTCAGGTGTAAGAGATTAAAATGAATCAAATAAGACCAAATAAAACTCAGTAAAACCAAAGAAAAACCAACAGCTCTCAAGGTTTCTTTCCCGTGTCAATGTGCCCGATGGTTGATGGAATAAAATCCGTGGAGATGAACCCCCTAAGTTTGAAGTATTCCCCATATATTGACCCAGTTTGGTCACCTCAAAAAGACTCTGTGCCCCAGTCAAAGAGGTCTGGCTCAGCCCCGAGTTATCCCAGTATTATAAGCCAAAAGTTGCAAGAGCAAATGAGTCCCATCTGTAATCTGTAAGCTGCAAGATATACGGGGGGAGGATGCATGCAACTCTTACAGCCATGAACTCAACAATCAGTACATGCAACTGCACAGCTGAGTTGAGTTACTGTTATAGCTCAGTCAGGTGAGTTACCTGGACTACCCTCATTGTCCCAGTTTATAAGCACCAACAAGAACTGAATTATTAACAGAAGCATGTCCGCCTCTGCTACGGTAGGTGGTGACATGCCCTCTTTCAGCTCCATACTATCAGGTTGTCTCCTAGCCATACCAAAATAGTTGTCAAAACCTGTTAGCATGTGGCTGATGAGATGTGCATTCAACAATGCCACTTTTCACCATAACTTTTTACAGCTCTGAACTTTTTTTCATACAATACAACAATTTTATTTTATTTCAATTTTATTTTATTCATCACAATAAAATTGAGTCATTTACTTTTTTCTTTTTAGGTTTTTAAAGAGAGCACACAGTTTAATTCTACTCATGCAAGTGGCAGAGAAATAACTTGCTTTTTATTTTTTTTTATCTCAAGGTCAATGCAAGCTTCCACACCTGCTACGAATTTCAGAAGAGCAAAAAAGCGGCTGTAATTTTTTCACCCCCGTAAAGAATTATGCGAACATTTTCAGGCAAACTGCTACATAAATCCATAGCCTAAAATAAATCTTACCGCAGACATGTGACAAGCTGTTGCTCTGGATCAATCTTGATCAAGCAGTTCTTCAAATTGTCCAAGGGAAATTCAGAAGTATTGTCAGAATTTTGTGATACAATCTGTTAATGTTGGGATACAATTTAAGCTCCTGGATCGTTGTGTGGAGCTCCCCCATCTTATGTTGCAAGGTCATTTGATGTACTCAGACACTTGGATTCTTCTTCTTCTTCTTTTTTGTTACTTAACAGGCTTACAACCATGACCATCACTTGAGCATATAGTCGCCATTGTTTCTCCTTCTTCTCTCTCCCCTTCTGTTCTCCTGTGGCATATTTTTATGGGAATATGTGAATTTTATTCACGTCACACCAGGTGTGTATGGGAAAAGGCAAAAGCTGAAGGTTTTGCATTTTCATGTCACTTTGCACACCGGCTTTGCTAATTCGCTGGTGTGTAACGACCATTATGTTTTTAATGTCATCATGACACAATCAATGCTGTGGTGACAGTTCTCCTCTGAAAAGTTTCTCCCATTTAGGATGACTTAAGTTCAGGTAGAGTGACAAAAGTTCCCCTGGTCATCGTTCTCTCTATGAGCCTTCTATCTCACAGCACAGAGGGGTCTGATGGCCAGGTTAAAGGTGCATTAGTAGCAGTTTGGAGCACTCTGCAGCAGCAGTAAAACCAACCCAGCTACAATTAGTCTTGATCTGTGTGAATAAATGTTTAAAAAGAAATCAATTAGATTTGCATTGTGTTGACTTCAGTTTAACTCACTCATGTGGGCTTCTTTAGCGTCTCTGACTCATAGGCAGTACAGTAAATGAGAGTAGTATCAGCGACGTCACCTGTATGTTCCTGTTAGCAGTGGTCATAATATTGGTAAGGCTAACTCAATCTAACGGTCGGTTGACCCACCAGAGGCGGGCCTTTAGCCTTCTCACAAATAGCTATAGTGTGCCCGCCTGTTAGTCATGTCAGCTGTGCCTCTAAATAACTTTAAAACATATTTAGGAAAATGTCTCCTCCTGTAAACATGTGAGCCCTGAGTTAACAAGTTTATTTTTGCTTCAGAAACAGTTGTTTTATCTTGGTTTATGTGGTTTCCACTGCTTCTGCAGTCAACCTCAGGGAACTGCAGGTTTAAGCAATCCAGCATTGTTTTGATTTCTCAAGGTTGCCATCTGAGTTAACATAATTCACTACCTGCCCTGCATTTGCCCCTGAAATGCCCGCACTGTGCCCACTAAATGATCTATACTTACTTTCTGTGCCATGCAGAGCAGCTGCACAAAATTATGGGCCCTGCGTGGGGTAATTCTCTGTAACCCGGCCCATGTTGGCAGTTATTCATTGTTTTCTCTTCTCGACTCACCTTCTCACTACCCTGATGATCTACTGTCTCATCTTGCATTTACTTTATCTCTAAACTTTGCCATCATTACTGAATTATGAGCTATTGCAGTTAAGATGAGATTTTAAATGATATCTAAAAAGTAAAAGTACAGCAAGGCAGGTATGTGTAGCTTATTACTTTTATCTGACAAGTTATCTTTGAACATATTTTTGAATAGACAGATTTACTGAAGTCTTTTAAAGAAAAAAAAACATATACAGTATTATCAGCTTTTTAACATGCAGAAAAACAAACAAATCAAATAACTGAAACGAGAGCTCTGGGAATCTGCAAAGTGTGTCAGCCTATTAAGTTACTGCGCCTCACTTTCTCTGGCTTAAAAATATTTTTACCAAAAGAAATAACAACACTCTTTTTTTATCCTTTGATTTTTGCTTCTCAAATCGAGATTTTCTCCTTTTCTATGACAATATGGATAACTTTTATGGGAAAACCACTGACTTAAAATGACTTATGTTAACAATGGCTCTTAGCTCTGCAAGAGTAAACATTAGAGGTGAAATTTTCCAGCAGAATGCATGCCTTTAAATGTTTGCACTCATGTTAATCCATGAAAATTGGTAAGACTGTTATCACAAATGCTGTTTTTTAACAATAAAGCAGCATCCATTCGCATCCTAGCCAAGGTTAAACCCACAGAAAATACGGTAGGAGCTCAATCTCAGCAGCGTCCCTGCATAACCAAATATGTGCATGAATAAAAGAGGAGAGTTTACTGAGGGGACACTTTTGCTGTCCCTCTTTTTTCTGCCGTTCTTAATCAGTGACTCTTTAAGTCGTTGGTTTGATCAAGCTTCTTTTTCCCCTCTCTTTGGTAAGCTCCTCTGCGTAAAATATCTCTGCACCAGTAACACCACAAAGGCTTACTTATCTGGGCATTACCTATTAAAGGTTTAAACCCCCGCGTCTCTGATAAACACTGCCTATAAGGCTTTTATCTCCCCGCGGCCTTATCGCACTCTTGAAGGTCCTTCTCCTGAGGCGCAGTAATTTGTTTAATTAAAGTGTCATTTTGAGAAGAAAATATAGCCACAGCTACAGAACCAGATGCAAAGAAGTTTACCATGTGGGTTGATATTGAGCATTTCTCCACCGCTGTCCGTCTGTCCGCCTTTCATTCTCTTTCTCTCTCCGGTCTTCTTCCAGAGCGTGGATTAAGATTAAGTCGCTGGTATTTTCTTTTCTCTTTTTTTTGTATGCTTCTTTTCAGATATTTCCAGACAGCATCCATGCATGCAGCAATGGAAGAGTAAAAAGACAAGAGAATCAAATCTAGTTTGAGAGCAGCCCCTTTAGCTGCTATCTAAATGGAGCCCTGGGAGGATTGGCTCTCTGGCCTTGCAGCTTGTGTTGTCAGCACTTTGGGCGATTTGTGTGTGATTTCATTAGGAACCAAAATATCAGCCAGATGAAGAGGAAAATAGTATGCAAAGTGCTGCTGTATGGCTGCTACAGTGTGTGCTCTTAACACTGAGACTCACTCTCATGTCTGTAATGCCTTTTAAGAGCTCAAAAAACTCCCATCTATTTCATTATGGACACAAACGCTGGTTTAGAGCTGCACCTTTACTAGAGGACACACTGGAGTGTCCAAATAGATGAAGAATGTCTTTATATTTGGATCGAATCTCTAAACACTCACAAAAAGACTTCAGTAAAAATCTTTCAAACTTAGAGGTACATTTCTTTAGACTAACAAAAATGAGCATTATCACCATTTGTGGAAATGCCACGCTCCTGCCAAGGTGTGCATTTGTTGTAGAAGAAAATTCATGAAGTACATGTCTTCTTTTCAATCCATTTTTTTTCTTATTTAAGACTAAGATCAGTCCATCAGACCCAGGAATAGGACAAAATGCACTTGAAGTGGATTTGAAACTATTGTGGGTGCAGCTACAGTGATCTGCACCAACAATAACAATAGAGTGATAGATAGCACAAATTTATGCTGCTGGATCAGAATGATCATTCCAACAACAAAATGTACATCTTACCTCGCTGAACAAATAAGACAGGTATTTATAAGGTAACCTGGCTCTGGCAGACAGCTGCAGGGTTGTGTTTAAATCTGGGCTGAGTGTGGGAGAGGTAAGTGAGGCTGAGATTTGGGTGGATCTGCAACAGTGAGGTGGACAACTATGGCTGAAGTCGTCTGTTTGTAAGATATCTGTGATCCATGAACAGTGATCCACGGTTTTTGATGATTCAAAGTCAATAATTCACTGAAGCTCCCCCTGCTGGTGCCCCATACTACAAATAACACGCGGCAAAGTTCTTGTGATCCCATCCTGACCTTTAATGGACTAAATAGCCTGACTTACTGTTGCCATGTCAACCTTCAACTACTTTTTCTAAAATAAATTCTGTCATCCATTAAAGGGTGCAGAAAGTTAGAAATGCATGCTTCTGTAACCTCCGAAAAATGATGTGGTATTGTTGTCAATGTTAATTTCCACCAGCTGTTTTATCATTTTATTTTATTTATTGTTTAATTTATTTTCATGATCTATTTGCATTCCTGTTAATGTGGGCCACAGGGAGTCATAGAAGTTAACTCTGCTGATGTGCCGCTTTTGCATCCATTCATTTGGGGGTACAGAAATTTGAAACAGGGTGCAATGTATGCTTTCACACCCTCGTAGAACCTAGCCTGCATAGGCTGACTCCTTGAGTCATATTATATGTTAACGTTTGATGAGATTCTCATTAGTCTCACTGGGACACATTTTTCTTCAATTGTGAGGGTCTTGCAGATAATCAGCCCTAATTTTCACGTGTTGTGAAAAAATATATATATATACACACACACACACACACCGTTTCTTTTACTCAAAGCATACAGGGGACAAACAGAACACATTTTTTCATAACTTTGGTCAAGAAATATGAGCTACAAGTTGCAGAAGTTTTCAGAGATCCAAGCCATCCCTGCAAGGACAGATGTGGATTTTTGTGTATGTGAGCAGGTCAACAGCACTTACCTCTCCAGAGCTGTGACGGCATCTTTTAGTGAAAGCTGTGACAGAGTGTAAGAGATTTATGAGGAGCTGCATGCAGACAGATTTAAAGTGCTTTAGAAAGGAGAAACAAAAAAAAATATAGAAAAGCAAAAAAAAAAAAAAAGACTGGTGACACAGAAAAATCAAGAGCTATTGTATTGTAAAACTTACAAAAAGACACAGTGTGCCCTAAATTAATGGAGGAGAGGAAGGTTGTCATACAGCGGCCCTGGGGACAGAAAGGTGCAGCACCAGGCAGAAGAGGAGAGAAAGCTGCGGCTAAGTTTGAGTAATTGATGACTTAAAAATAAACTTCCAACATTCATCTTGGAGGAGGGATGAGGATAAAGTACCAACAACTCAAGCATGTAACAATCAGGTCAAGAGCACTCCAACAACTTCCCTGAAAAAAAAAAAAAAACATTCAAAGAAAGAGGAGCACAAAGGAAACTCAACTCTTCTAAGCTCAGGATGGATGATGAGAGGACACCTTAGGGATTATTTGTATGGTTAGTAACAGGTTTGTTCTGGTTTTTGATTTTGCCTTTTAAATGTCACTGTTTTAAAATCTTGCTTTTAGCTTTAAATTCTGTAATCGATTTGCACAAGAACTTTATGTTTGTTTGGGTGGACCTCAGGAAGAGTAGCTGCTTCATAATAGCTAATGGGTTCCAAATGACTAAATAGGATAAAGAGAGTAATCATGTGCGAAATAATTTGTGTTTATGATGGTAAAACCTTGACAAATGGAGGATCACACTTATCACGCATCACAGGAGCTTCTTGTTGTAGAACACCAGTATTACTTCACCAACAACAGGGGTGAGCAAGGGAGCTCTGCAATCAAATCTGACTGCTATCGCTCAATATTCTCATTTCACTGAGAATGAGCAATTTAAATCCACATAAGATGGGAGATCCACATAGGATTCCAGCCTTTGTTGAAGGGGACCTGCTCCTGTTTGGATATAAAAGACACCAACCAAACAGAAGAAAACAGGTAACAGTCACAGATTGTAGGAGTTAAGAAGAATTACAGGACTTCTTTGTAATCAGGTGATTATGTACTAATTTAAACATAAAATTATGGAATATAAATGTTTTACTCTTTTCCTGCAAGGTCTGCTCTATAGGTGATCAGGTCACCAGAAACTGAGAAATAAAGGAGTTTCGTAAAAGGCTGCAAATAAAATAAAAACATTAATGGACGACTGATCAAATCCTGTTGTGGCTTTCAGTCTCACATCTAAACACAAGTCAGCTGATACTAGAGAGAGAGGGAATCTGAACTTTAAAGTGAAATATTGAAGACTAAATTATGGAGGTAAAAAATAATTAAGCAGATCTTAAGTAGAGTGTGAATCTTTAAGAGCTAAATGTAAAATCCGTCCATCGTCCTCCTGTGATTGGCTATCACTGCAACATGTTTTTAAAGCCCTGACGCATTATTAATAAAACAAACTCTAATAGAAATATCATTGGGCTTATTTTTCAATCAGACCCAGCATCGCTGCAATCCACAAAGCGTGACATTAATTAAAGATTGATGGCCGGGCCGTTCATCTGAGCCGCTGTTGATCCGGTAATTAAAATGACAAAAAAAGATTTATTCATAGAAATTTGCCCAACTTGTTTCATTTCCTTGTCAAGCAGGGCCTGATTTTCTGTCTTTTAATGAAGGGGAGGAAGTGCATGTGTTTTTCATTTTCCTCTTTCTCCACTCGTATTGATGGACGTCATCAGGCCACGCTTGGGTTTCTCCTCAGAGGTTTTTAAGTATCAAATGAAGCTCAGAGACGAACAGGCTGCAGAGGCGCAGAGTCTCCTCGCACAGCCGCTTCTGTCTGCTCAATCAAAGTTTTCAAAGCAGGAAAAGTGAAAGTTTCAGCGACCTTAGTTCAGCAGTTTTTCAGAAAGGAAAGCAAATACAAATGAAAAAGCTTTGCATTTTTATTTTGGTAAAGTAATTATGTAGTCTCTTGGAGTTTGACAAGGCTTCTAATGAGTTCTCCCAGGACCTCCCTTTTATTTGTTTGTTTGTTTGTTATTTTTAAGCTTGATTAAGTCCCCTTGTATTTAGCAGACCCAATCAAATCAAAGGGGAGGAAGATTAACTGTGTACATTTCTCCAGCCTCTTTAAAGAGGTGTGAGAATAAAGCTTTATTCCTCCTCTTCCTCTTCATTCCTATCCTCCTGCTTCGGTCGCTAATGGTCCGGATGCTTCCTTCACTACATGTACAGAAATACAAGAGTGAAATACACACAAACAGTGATTAGCATATACACTGCTGTTTAAATATGTAGAGCATGTAAAGCTTTTTGAATTAAAACACCATTACAATCAGAGAATCACTTACACTGCAAAAAAAGAAAAAAGAAAAAAAGAAGTCCTTAATTATTCATTTTAGATAAATTCCTATTTTCCACAGCGCGTATTTAGAAAAAAACAAAAAAACAACAGGAACAAACACAATTTTTATCAATTTAGCATATTTTATTCTAAACATCTTAGAAACATAACATTAATGATAAAATAAATAACAGAAAGCAAAACAACTGCAGCAATCTTTCTGGAAAGACTCTGACATAACCATCATGCGATCATTAGGGGCAAAACACAGCCTGTTCATGCAGTATGAATAAATTGAAAAAAAAAAACACCTAATTTACAAACACCAGCCCAAACAGACAGACACACTCAAAGTGAAATTTTGGTGAAGTAGTCATGCGCAGACTTCTCAGTGATCATGCCAACAATTCCTCTTCTTGGTGACCTAAAATCAACATATCTGTTCATACTGTGTGTTATTATTACTTCAATAATACTTCTATTAAAATACATCAGTCTGAGGCTGTGCCATTCCACACCACAGAGGGTTTCTTTTTTCTTATTAAGTGATTTATCTGAATGAGCTTCTTGTTTGGCTCCAGGGAGGAAGCTGGATTTAACTCTGAAGCTTGCGTCACAATTGACCAATCACTAAGAATGCGGATGAGCCAATGGCAGTTTAGAATCAGCTGCACCAGGACTGGAACTCAGACATCTGTAGCTTTCAGCTCCATAGAGAAGTATGAGAAGTCATGATTTTTCATATGTTTTATGGTGCTAATTTTAAATATAACGGAATGTATTTCATTCCATTTCCAAAACCAAAGAAAGACTGAAGAAAATGTCTGCTATGGATTAGATTGTGTGGCAGACCACTCAGCCAACTTAACATCCAGAAGATCAACAAGGATGTCTGTGTTTGTTTTAAGGCAAGTTACACCAACATAGCTTTAAATCCACAAACTTTACTGACAGTTATTTAATCGTCATTTGCGATGTAGTGACAGAGCTTTCGCCTCTGGCTAACTAGCTAACGCTAATGTTAGCCCAGGTTAGCACACTAGCTGAGTGACTTTGACACTCACTGTTGGTCTTGGATGATGTCATCTGAAATCGTAACGACTGCGAAATGAGGTTTCTCCCTCTTGTATTGGGATCTGTACACTCTCGCCTCCAGTTTAACTGTGTTCTCACCCACTGCATCTAATTTTACCATCTGGACACATCCCTCCATGGATTAATAAAGTCCGTTTTGAAGGGTTCTCGAGGAAATTACGTCTTTCTGTGCCCAGAATTGGTCGAGACCCTCTTGGGGGTAGCATTTTGACTCTGGCAGTGGCCATTGTGAAGTACTGCTTAGCTCCGATTGTTTGTCTGAGTTAGTAACAGTAACTAAGGGGGGCGGGGCTTAGCGATAGGTCAAATGTCACGAATCTACTCCATAAAAAACAAGTAAGGACTCTTCTTCTCCATCCAGCTCATCTTACATGCAGATAGATGCAGATAGTAAACCCTGACGTAGAGTCCAATGAACAAAAGACAAAAACATAATGACAAAAATAATTAATAACACTAACACCGCCAATTTGTACACCTTCTCATCCGCTTTGTACACATCTCTATTGCAGCCATGTGTGGCTCTATACTTCACGGTGGCAAACAGCCCAGTGTCACTGCCCTGCTGTGAAATTTATTTCCATGAGGACCTGATAGATACAGGACTTGGCACCAGTGGAAGCAAAAGTAAAAGGAAGGAGCAGAAAAGATGTATTAAATGATTATAATGACTGATGATATTACCTATTTCTACAAAAAATGACTGCAATAGTGTAATGGTCAAACGGTGGGTAAGGATGACAGAATTATTAAAAGAGGAAGAATTGAGTAATTCCAGCCCATTTATCAATCTGCACATCACAGCTTCACACTCACTTAATATATATTGTACATCTTACTGATTCCAAGGAGCTCTTTTTAAAGGTATTTCTTTATATTTTTATCCTATTAAGTTCTAAGCTCCAGAGTGCAAGTTAATTTCAGATCCAAGATGGCAACAAAAAATGGGTAAGGGATGTGAGATGATGAATAGGATGAGATTATAAATCTTTTTCATATTTAAGATGTGGACAATACAACAGGCCCTGCTCTGGTGCAGGTAAATGGGATTTTGCCGGCACCATCTTTTCCCTCTGCTGACATGATACATATATAATGTTCTTCATGATGAATGCTCTTTGTAATATGTGGCTGAGATAAGATTCTAGTATTCATAGTTTTCTATCATGTTAATGCGTCGAGATAAAGCATTGCATCCAGTGTGCTGTTTGGGGCCAGCAGGGCAGCCTATTGCTCTCTTCTTTTTTTAGATGAATATGTGGTGGTGTGGATGGAGACATCAGAGGGAATCTGCAGCCGCTCTCTGCCTTTTCTTGGACCATGAGCTGCTCGGTGTGGGTTCATCTTGTAAAACTTTTGCCTATACTATAACATGTCTGGGTGCAATTTTTTTATATGGAAATATACTGTAAATACTCAAATATCAGTGGGTATTTCATTTGCATTTACTCTCAAACATACCATCGTCACCTCAAAGCAGAAGTGCACACAGGGACAAATACAAACACCACCGCCAACAAAAAAAAAGACTAAGAGGGTAAACAGCTTTGATTCAATTCACAGATCAAGCTAAGGTTAACAACAACTGACCTCTTCTCTGGACAAAGCACGATGGCGATCTGATCTGCATCAGCTGGACCCAGCAGGAGCTCCATGGTCAGGTGTGCTGCTTCTGTAGTTATTTGTGGAGGTGGAAACTTTAAACACACAGGGAAACCAAAAATGAATAAACAAACAATTTAAAGAAAGATCCGCTCTTGAAGGTGGGAATTGTGTGTTTGGAGCACTTTCTCTGATCATTAGCATTTTTGCAGCACATGTTTTCATCTGCAGTGCATCTTTGTTTGTTTTGGACTGTTGCATGTGTTTTTGAAGTCGTTTCTGCATTAGCAGTGCCTTTCCCCCTGAAGAAGATCTTTCAGGGTTTTGCAGATCATTTCCTCTAGCATCTCATCATGAAATGAAGCATCTTCTGATGTATTCAACGTTTACAAATTTATAAAACAAAAAAGAAAAAAAATAGGGGCATGACAGTTTGCTAAACTTTGTCAAAAATGCTGATGGTGGCTGGATATTTAGTTGTGAAACAACATCCCTGACTGTCTCTTTAATTATGGCTCCTTTTTATAGGCTTTGTTTACATTAGCCAACAGAAGTTTAGCCCATCCTAAATGTATTTCGATTATTCTGTGTTTTATAAAGTGTTTAAGCTTCTTTTGGATCATTTAAATTTATCTTTTTCAAGAGAAAAAGATAATCGCAGACTGAGATGAAGATGCTGGTGAAGTCATGCAGAGTCTTCTTTATCTCAGTCTGCTGCTGTGGATTATGACTGCTGTACTGTTCAGTCCTTTTACGGGCCCCAGGAAGAGACACTGGCAGATGTGTGCAGTAAAAAATAGTGCACAGGCACTCACTTACCCACACTCTCTATCTCAGCCACACATATCACACCGGGCTGGCTGGTCGCACAGATGTGTGCATGTCTCACCTGAGTCTAATAACATCACCTCATTCAGTACCACCATACGGCTAGAAAGGCTCAGCCCGGTCTTATCCTCTCTGATACTGCTGTTTCTTTGTCTCCTCTCTCTCTCTCTCTCTCTCTCTCTCTCTCTCTCTCTCTCTCTCTCTCTCTCTGCCTCCGTCTCTTTTGTGCATCTCTGGCACTCTGAAGCTTCTCCAGTCATCCTGCCATCCAACATGCACCCAGGGTCCAATTAGCCCTTCAAACACCCTGCAGTCAGCACACAATGCATAACCCTGCTGCACCACTGATGTAGTCTTCATTGTGATGCTCTCATATACATTAGCCAAAGGGAGGTGGCTTTATGCTCTGTGAAGAACTTAGTATTGTTTCATGTGACAGAATAAAAAGATGAAATACAGGAAAAACACATGAATAATTACATGAAAAAAAAAAAAGACGTTTATGCCTCGGTGTCAGTTTAACACCAAATGTTTCGTCAATATGAACACAACAGCAGGATCTCTGCATGGTTTATGAGTGTGAAGCTTTCTCTTTGGACAGTTTGGTAAGTGAGCATGACTTTCATGGTGCTCTTGTCCAGGACAAATGAAGAGATATGACTGCAGCCAGGCCCTTAGAGATAGTAACCGGCTGAATTAAATGCCTTAATTGCCATTGTTGCCTAGGAACCTTTACATTTCTAAATTATTGTCGACCATCATCATCAGTCAATATTATGACACAATGAATAATTTAATTCGGTATTCTGTGTTTTCCTCTAAAAATCAATGATGCCTGCCTCAATGTTTGAACAATTTTTAGCTTTTATTTGTCCTCTAAAACTGTCTCTTGCTAAATGATACTGACCCTTTGAATCTTTTAACAGCACGATCAATAAAGCATGTTTATGCCAGGCTTGCAAAACCATCAGTTTGGGACTTTTGAAAAAATATGCCAGCGGCTGCAGCTTGCTAAGTGCAGAGCGCTAGCACTAAATCTTGGGAGTTAAAGTTTTACTGGGGCGTTATGGGTAAAAATGCCTTGTCAGCCATCTGCCACCTCCTCTCCTGGCAGCCATATTTCCAGGTCTGCTCAAGTCCTGGGAGAGAACACTGCATCGCCACCCAGGGCCAACCCACAATATTACAGTCTGCATTCAGAGCTGTTGAGGAGATAAGGAGAAAGAAAGTGGAAGTGACATGGATGAAGACTCAAAGACAAAGTCTGCTAACACAGGAGGTGTGATGGGCTGAAACATGGAGGCTTAACTAGAAACACATTCTATGATGCATCATAAACAAATGTGTCAGGTTAAGGATAAAATATGAGAAAAAATGAAACCTGATATGATGAGAGACTTTATGATTATAATAAAAATCAATCAGAAGACTTTTAAAAACTGCATGTAACATTTTTAGTTTTAGGTGTGACAAATGCACACTGTTTCACCTGACTGTGCAGATACCTCTTGCCCTGTGGAGATACATAGAAACTACCGTGTTACTGACTTGTTTCCATAGTTTACTGCTGAAAAAATATTCACACAAATTTTTCAGACAAAGGGCAAACAGAAGTTTTTGACTATAGTAAAGTCGAATACATACACGATCAGTGTTGTGCACGTTCCATCAGTGTCGCATCTCTGCTCTGTTGAGCGGCGCTGTCTATCACACACAGGATGTGTGTTTGGAGTGCAGCAGCATAGTGCAACCCCCGTCAGCTGGGGGGGAGAGGAAACAACATGCTCACAACAGGTTGTTTTGTCTTTCTGTGGTCTATTTCTTGCCAATTTGGATATAATTCAGTGACTGTTGAGCCTCTACTGTATGTGAAAAAGCAACATGATTTAACCGTTTTCGGTTTCCTCGTGTTTAACAAAGTAAACTATGTTCCTTTATGCTGTGCTGTTACCTTCAGACAGACTTAGCAGTTGAAAGTCCTGTTGGGGTCCACATGGATCAGGGATTGACCATCAGAGTGTTCTGTGCTACTGATAAATCCATAACCAGGAAGTTTTTCTATCATGGTGTTTTATTTTGAAATTTACCAGATGACATGCGCGGTTTCCATGCTTAACATCCTGCCTAGAACAATCTTCTCTGTGTAGATTGACACGTGTTAGAAGTGTAGAGCAAAGAAAGCAGACTTGGTGCATATCTTTAGCAGAGCCGCGCTTGATATGTTTCTAAGACAGCAAAGACGAGTACTGTGTGCAATGCTGCATTGATTAGAATGGGAACCTATCACGTGACGCTGACTTTGCATGCTCAACACAGATCCTGTATGTTTTAGGCTCACACTTGAGGAAAATTTTGTAGCCAAAAAGCCAGATGTGTATCTCTGGATGAAAGGTCAAATGTGACACCAGCATTATGTCAGTATGTGGACAGCTCTTAACATGCACTGAGATCTGCAGCAGCAGCACAGGCATATCTCCTTAATACCTTTGCATGTGACCAAACATTTAACATAAAAACTGGTGGTTTCACTTCAGGCATTCTGCACTGTTTAAGCGAAAATGGAGGTCTCCATGAATTCATCTTGGTCTCCTGTTTACACGGAGGATGTTTGAACTGACATTCCTGGTATTACCAACTACAACCAGCAGTTTTGCCCTACCACATGTCATTAACTTTAGTTTACACTCACCAAGGTATGGCAGAGATGCCGAACAGAACAGAACAGTAGCAGACCAGTCCATCTTCTGTCTTGAACAGACAGTGTAACAGGGGCTGCACACAGACATAGCAAATGTGTTGATGCTGCTGAGCTGAGTTTCTTCTAAGGGGGGAACTGGGCCAAACCTGACTCTGGTACAGAGCTCTGAGTTGAGTCCCGCTTCTCCACATCTACAGGACCCTGTTGATGTGGTTCAGACATCTGATTAGGATGCCTCTTAGACGTATCTTTCTTGAAGTTTACTGGGTGTGTCTCATCTGACCAAGCAATGCCTCAGGATCCTCCTGGAGAAAAGTGTTTGCTGGGGAGAGGGATGTCAGGGTTGAATGGTTTGGTCCGCTGCCACCATGACCTGACTGTGGATAAGCTACAGAAATAGATGGATGGATAGATGATTGATAAAGTCACTTGACTTTTGTTATTTCTACTCAGATAAAAATGTCGGTTTTTGAATGACCAAGGAAAAATAGTTTATTTGTTGCAATGACTTCACCTCAAATTGCATTTTGGTGCAAACAAAATTCAGATGTTCAGTGGAGATTTTCAGAAATAAGTGAAAGACACAGAAACACCACACAGAGATACAGAGTATAACACTGAGGTTTCCAGTAAATGGTGATTCCTGCTTCAGGCCCATCTTTGCTCAACTCAGGGCCATGTAATGAACAGTGGGGCTGACCCTGTCTGCCTGACAAGACTGGCAGCTTAATGTGTCAAGAAAAAGGAAAGAATGGATGGGATAAGGTATAAAAAGAAGTAAGAGACCGACATCTGGACCCCATGGTTTACAAAGCCCTGCTTACTGCTAATCATGGCTGATTAATCAGGCCATAATTCCACTGAACCAAAAAGATCTGTCAGTCAGATGTATTAAATGATCTCTGTCTCACATGTGCTGTCAGATTTGGTGATGGAGAGGTGCTCCATCACAGCCCTGATTCAAGATGAGATGACGGTTCAGCCTTCACACATATGGTTTATACCAACAACTCCAGTCGTCACAGAAACATATGGGAAGGAAATTTTTGTTGTTCTCTTCATTGTGTAGTTTTTTAATGATGATGAAAAAGTGCTAAAAAAAAAAAAAAACAGTTCAATTCTTTCACTTCTCTTATCATTCTCAACAAACAGTATATTTTTTAAACATAAAGTAACATAAATTAAACTCCCTGAATTAATGAAACCTCACTGTGAGGTTTTATTCATTTAGGGAGACTTTCTGGTGAACTATCTTGTTCCAATGTCTTTTCAGATGTGCAGAAACTGTCACAGACTCTTTAAGAACCAGTCTCAGTGATGTTCATTGGTTTTTATCAGCAGAGGCTTGTAGAGGGTGGTTCCTGTACAAAAATGCTTACTCAACCTAATTTTGGCCAACTTACCAAAAGGAAAAGGGGCAGAGTTAAGGTGGACTTTTAGTTTCACACAGTTAACAGTTTCACAGTTAAGTCAGCTGTGCCACAAATGATGCAAAACACATTGAGATTGGGTCCAGACCCAATACAAATTCATCGGGAGCGCGTGGTTT